AGAATGTAGATAATAGAATTGAACGTAATAAAATGTGCATGTGTATGTAATAGAATTGATAGAAATTTGATATTTTGATTGTAGAGAGAATGTAGATGAGAGTAGATAGTTTGTGTGAAAAATGAATTAAAGTTGTGAAGTATTTATCGAGTTAAAAAATTAATAATAATAATTCAGTAACCATCGGGGGACTCCAATGGCCAAATATAAAGTTCTGTAACTATTTTAAATGGTCACAAAACTTGGAGAAAGTGATAGTTTGGTAACTTTTACCGTTATGCTCCGAGCTAGCTCATGGGCATTACCCATGAGTCGCTCACCTAAAATAGTGAGCCAGCAAGAATTGGCTAGCCTGTTAAGCCTCTTGCTCAGCTCGTCCTGAAACAAGTCCGAGCTGCCCATGGATCTAACCCCAACGAGTTGAGCCGATGACCCACTCGATTCTATTGCCTACAACATAAGCTTTCATGGTAACCTACAAGTTTAGAGCAATGATTTTACAATAAAATTTCTCTCTTAATAAATGATACAAATGAATTAAGTACAATGAGAGACTAACACTTCAATGAATTAAGTTTTAAATGAAAATCTTTGATAAATATGATAATTAAAAATTTGATTATATCAATCAAAGTTTTCAATGAGAAGAAATAAGTGTTATGTAGGTTCAAAAATCTTCTCAAAATATTTATCTTTTTAAATGAATAATAGCAAAAAATTAAGTACCAAGAGAGAGAGAGATGAGAAATTTTGATGAATAGGATGATTTTTCAAGTTTGTTCCAATCAATTAAATTTTTTTATATAGAAAAGTAGGGAAGATAGATGCAATGTGAGTTCAAGAATTTGCTCAAAATATATATCTCCTTTTATGAATGATAGCAATAAATTAAGTATCAAAAGAGAGATGAAAAATTTGATAAAGATGATGGTTTAAGAGTGTGATTGAATCAAAGTTTTTGATACGAAGAAATTAATGCAATATAAGCTCAAATGATTTTGCTCAAGAATTTCTCTCTTTAATACACTTGAAAACTCTTTTTTGATGAATGCAAAAGAGAATCTATTATAGAGAAAAATTTGAGAAACTTTCTGGAAGTTCGGATGCATGTTTGGACGATTAGAATAGCAATTGAACGCTAGACATTATGAAAAATTTGACCATTAAGATTTTCGGATGTCCGCTGGTCTAATCGTCTGCCAAAAGAGAAGCTATTTATAGAAAAAGATTCGCAAAACTTTTTGGGAGTTCGGAAGATGGTTCAGACGTCTGTAAGATCCCATCAAACTTCAAACTGGTTGCGGCCAATTCTATAGATTGTTCCATTTTTTACCCTGTTTGATCCGATTTGAATGTGTTGACAAATGTAGACCTTTGGAAGGTGTTTCTAACTAGTTTTTATAGTAAATGATGTTTCAAAAAATATGATCTAAGTTCAAATATCATTTTGAACATCAATTTTACCTTTAATAAAAAAAAATTTATGCAAGTGATAATCAAAATAACTTTTAGAATACTACATTTGGTATAGAAAGCCTAGTCCTTGTCATTTGGCTTTTAGGCTCTCGTCTTCATCCTTTTTTTGAAGTTCAGCTCTTAAACTCTTGTCTTGAAGGATCTTGTCTTGAATGTCTGGAAGACTTGACTTCATTTTTGACCTTCATTGTGATTCTGATTTGATAGTCTTGATTTTTGTCCTTTGACGACGATTGTTCGATTTATCATTTGATTTTTTGAAGACTCTAATCATTTAAGGGCGTGTTCGGTAGAGATTAAAATTGAAAAACTAACCGTTATTGTTGACTTTTATTAGACGAGTTGAACCCAATAACGACTATATTTTTAATTTTAATTGGATTGTAATAACTCCCAAACATGCTCTAAATACAATTGTTAGTAAACAAGATTAACTTGTTTGTTATAATCAAGGTTATAATCAATCATAGGTCAACAAGAACGACCCATGCACAAAAATGACGCTTACAAATTTTAAATGACAAGGTACACTTTTCACCAATTTTACGTCTATTTGTCTTTATGTCTGCTCGTATGAGCCTATAATTTATGAATATACATTTCTATTATATTTAGAAACCATGCTCCAACCAAAATTATTAATTGGAAGTCGTTACAACGAAAAAGAATTGAGTATCTATATTATACTGGTAACAAAGTTGATATATTTTATTAAAGTGGTTTTTCATTGCCTCAAATTCTATTAAATTTGTCAATTTGTTGCCTCAAACTCTATTAAATTCTTTAGTACTAGTGAAACACAATATCTTGGCTCTTTTTATTTATTTTAAATTTTTTCAAACTACAAAGAATGTTTAGAGTGAAATTGAGATCACGTCCACAAAAATGATATTTACCCATTTTAAACAACACGATGCCATTTTCACAATTTTTTCGTCCGTTTGTCTTTATGTTAGCTTATATGAGCTTAGAGTTGATGAAAATATATTCCTATTATATTTAGAAATCTTGACCGATCCAAAGTTTTTACTCTGTTGTCATACATTGACTCACAGTTGAGTGTTCTTATACT